TCAATATCGACTGGGTCATCGTGGAGAGGGAGCATGATTTTGAAAGATACGAAACACCGAATGAACCTCGGCTAGAAACATCACTGATGATGTTTACTAAAACCTCACATAAATGTATTTTACGAATATATATATATATATATATATATATATATATATATGTGTGTGTGTGTGTGTGTGTGTGTGTGCGGAGAGAGAGAATGAGTAAAAGAGAGAAATTCTGTATTAAGTCACTTGATAAGTAATATTCCTTAGAAATGTTGACCGCATAATGTTTTTAGGAATCGTACACACGCCTTGAACAAAGTACATTACAGATTGAAGATATAATTATATGATTCTAAGAATGCAGGTAATGTGACGGTTACACACCTGGCCCAGGGTCGAATCCCTTGGTTACGGCGCCAACTGTGACGTCGCTCCTCCTGGTCGTTCCTCCTGGTTCCAAGCGTGCCGCTCCAACCCCTTGGTTGGATGATCACCAGCCTCGCCTTTCCCAACTCGCTTCCAATACCTGGTTACTGAAGCAACTGTACTGATCTCCGGTCTGTCTACCCACGCTGTGTTTAGATCTTAGACAGACGGGACCAGCAGGATTGGGGCCGATACAAGTTGAGTCCGACGGGGTGGTAAAACACAAGTAAAAGAAAAAAAAAACTCACGAGACAAAAAATTACTGATAAAAAGGGTGACAACCTTTTATATCTAATGTCCGTTACATAAAGAAAAAATTGTTCTTATTTCCCGACCCGCTCTGTGGACTATGGCACCAAGCTTCTATCACACAACCTAAAGATTTCGAATTGCCTACTCTTTAGAATTGTGTATGTCGGAGTGTGGTTTAGTTCGACACTGGGGCTAATTTCTATCGATCATTCGCAGTTGATTCTTCTCTTCGACTTGAGTTGTATTTCTTCTTCTTCGTCGACTAAGATAGAACTTCTCTTGTCTTCGACTTGGCTGCAACTTCTCTGCGGCTTTCGAGTAATCTTCTTCTTCGTCTGCTTGGGCTGGAAGTTCTCTTGTCTTCGACTTGGCTGCAACTTCTCTGCTGCTTTCGAGTAATCTTCTTCTCCGTCTGCTTGGGCTGGAAGTTCTCTTGTCTTCGACTTGGGCTGGAAGGATTTCTTGTCTGAGGATTCTTTTGCCCGCAAAGGGGCAAGTGAATCGGGCCTGATGCCCGCGTCCAGGCTCTTTCCCTGCCCGCGGTCCAGCTGCAACTCAACTCCAACTGATTTCTGTCGACTGGGGTCCTGCTTTTATTGACGCCGCAACAAACTCGGGTGGGTCTGTCGGCGTCAGGGTTTTCTCGATAATTCCAAAAGTCGCATTATTTCTGTCTTCTCATTATCGCTATTGTTTTCACCCCTACTTCCTCACAGTGCCCTTGGTGGGGAGGCGCACACCCATCTTTCCCGGTCCCTCGTATGTCAGGTGACAGCTCTCGACCAATGATTCCTGATCGAGCACTTCTTTCTCTTCTTTTCCGCAGATCACGTGACCGTTTCCGACCAATGGTTCTTGATCGAGCATCCTTTCTCTTCTTTCCGCATATCACGTGACCGCTTTCGGCTAATGAGATTGTTGTTGGGCGTGGTTTACATCGTTCTTGTTTTAAAAAAAACAAAATCTAATTTTGCCTTTTTTTTTGCACGTACGAAAAAAAATGACAATCTTGGCTTTTTTCTCACCTGGGCTCTGTCAAAACAGCCCGCCGCTAATTAGATGTGACTTCAGGGAAGAATATTGGCGCTATCTGTGAACTGAGACAATCGTTTTTTCACCTCTTGTTTTTGTCAGACCCGACAGTCAGAAAATCTTAATTATCTACATTGAAAAATGTCCCCACTTTGTTATCATGGGTTTCCAATTCTTAATAGGTCAGAATCTGTATATAGTTCCACCGGTCACTCCCTCAACCCAAAAGACACTTTTTCTCCGATTAAAAAATTTCGTTTCTATTGTTCTAAAAAGAATTTCCCTTTCTCCAATTTGACAATGAGTCTTTCCACGCAAAAAGTAGGCTAGGTGCTTTGACCGATTTTTTATCAATTGCCAAAACACTGTCATCAAGCCTGGTTCTTTTTCTCCCTCTTAATGATTTTTCATTTCAAATAACAATTCTCTATTGTCCTTTAAAAATTCGGCCACACGCAGGCCAAGATATCTTTCTGACACTTATCTTCGCTTATGACTGGGTCATGCATCATCCAACTCTCTTTCTTTCTTTTTTTTTTTTTCTTCCTCTTTCTTTTCTTTTTTTAGGATCGTCTAAGTACAATCTTAGTGAATTATTTTCAACTCAATTATTTTCCGTTAAAAAAAAATCAACAACCTGTTTAGTAAACCGAGTAAAAAAAAATTAAATCATATTTCTATGAATATTTCTAATAATGCAGGGTGCCACAGTAATAACTTTGGCGGAAAATAAAATGCAACGAATATGACTCATGCCACACTAATCAGAAAAGAACATAATTTATTACGTAGAAAATACTTAGGAGGGATCTTGATAATTTGTTCACCACAAAAAAAAAAAAAAGCCCAAACCGGTGTAAACTAAATTCTTTTTTCTCGGACAAAACATCCCCCAGTAAATATACTAACATTACCAGACATAAATAAAAATGCCCACTCTCATGCACACGCGCACGTTCATCAAAACCCTCGTTGATATATATATATATATATATATATATATATATATATATATATATATATATATATATTAATGCATGTTTCATTGAAGAATATAGACAAGTTTTGTCTATTTATTTTGAGTAAGTTCCTTTCATATTGTCTCATAAGCTTAATAAAATTATCATTGAAAGACGAAAAGAAATCTCCATATTGATACACGTTTAAGTACAATCTAAGCGTTCGGCTTACATAAGTCATTATCAAAGATGACAATTACATTTCAATATATCAAACAATACATGGAAGAAACAATAATGATAGACTGTTTTTGTTCCACTCTCGCATGGCCATGTGTGACGTCACGAGCTGCGTCGCGATTTTCGCTTCCGCGTTTCGTATACACGAATTTGTATTTGCTTTGAAATTTTTTATGCAACAAAAAATTTCAAAGCAAATACAATTTCGTGTATACGAGACGCGGAAGCGAAAATCGCGTCGCAGCTCGTGACGTCACACATGGCCATGCGAGAATGGAACAAAACAGGCTATCATTATTGTTTCGTCTGTGTATTGTTCGATATATTGAAATGGAATTGCCATCTTCGATAATAGCTTAAGTGCTGAGATAGTTTTTAAATATTAAAATGAAAAATTGCTGCCTAAATATGCACAATATATATATATATATAGGCCGGTAATTGTTGTTTAATATTGTTTATTATAAACAGAGCATTTACTTAAATATTTGTATCTATAAAAACAATGCATAAATATAAAATGTCTTAATATATATATATATATATATATATATATATATATATATATATAAATTTTTTTTTTTTTTTTTTTACCCAGTGTTATGTTTTCCAATTTCTTTTTGAAATTGTACGCCTCATGAATTGGATCGTGATTACGATTTCAATGTAATAAATCTTAACCAGGGAATATTAATGTTTGAGCCTCATATATATATATATATATATATATATATATATATATATATATATATATATATATATATATTAAGACATTTTATGTTTATGCATTCTTTTTATAGATACAAATATTTAAGTAAATGTTCTGTTTATAATAAACAATATTAAACAACATTTACCGGCCTGAATGTCCGAGAAATTTTCATAGAAAATATTCGTCCTCCGAAAATTTTCTATGAAAATTTCTCGACATTCAGGCCGGTAAATATTGCTTAATACTGTTTATTATAATATATATATATATATATATATATATATATATATATATATATATGTGTGTGTGTGTGTGTGTGTGTGTGTGTGTGTGTGTGTGCACAATCACACACACACACACACATATATATATATATATATATATATATATTGATATAATATGGTAAATGATCGGCCATATATATATATATATATATATATATATATATATAGTAATGATAAAGTATGGTAATCCGTATAGAATTTCCAGGAGGATATATATCCAGGGAGACCTTTATGCCAAAGAACAGAACAAAATATTATTAGTTAAAGGATATTAAAACACATAAAATCCCATAGGTAATAATTTTTATTTCAAATGCGCTCTAAAAACAACAACTCTCAATCTTCAAGGTCTACAAACAAATCACAAATGAAATGGAAAAATTATACCGGGTTAAAAAAACAAGAGATATTGTTTTTAAGAAAGTGAGTGAAAGTCATAGAGTGTTAACCTATTTCGTCATACTGACCTCTGTCTGATATAATGTGTGAATCTCGGCAGTTTCTGTCAACGGGCCAAATTCTGACATCTTTCATTCAACAAATTATTTGTAAATATCATTAAAAGAGAACACCTTTTAAAAGATTTCGAAATTATATATATATATATATATATATATATATATATATATATATATATATATATATCCCAATCTCCCTCTCTCTATCTTTTCCTCCCAACTCTCTCTATCTATCTATACACACACACACACACACACACACACACACACACACATATATATATATATATATATATATATATATATATATATATAAACTACTGTCTATTCTGTAGTACACGTGTTAGTACTTGTTTTTAACAAAAAAACTGCAATATATTGTTAAGACGGGGTTACATAGAGAATTTATTAGCAGCACCCGAGAGAACTGAAACGGTTAACCTCAACTCATTCGCAAAAGCTCAATGGAAAACGCGCTGTTTTGTTGGGTGCTTGGGGACTAATTATGAAAAGCATGACAGAAAATATTGTTTGTCTCCTTAGCTTTAAATGTATTTATGATATTGAGAAGGTATTATTATTATTAGGTGTGGTCTATCGCTTGTATAAACATCTCTTTTAGTTTCAACGGTTTATATACTCACATAAGGGACCTTCTTTGTAAGATATAAGGAATACCTCCCTATCTATCTATCTATCTTTCTATCTATCTATCTATGTTCATATGTATCTGTATATCCCAGAAAAATATGAAAAGTATTCGGCCAACGTACTTTCCAAATTGTTATCAATTGACCATATATCACATTTTGTTAATAAAAAATATTATTAATTGGAGCAAGAATTCTCAGTTTAGTTCAGCTCAACTCATATATCTATCTATGTAGCGAGATAGCCATGATAGCCATGTTAGGCTTTACCATATCTATCTATCTATCTATCTATCTATCTATCTATATATCTATATATATATATATATATATATATATATATATATATATATATATATCTGACTGTTCCTTATCTAGCTAGCAAGGTATTTCGTTATTTCTATTAATCTATCTATATCTTATCATAGTAATCTTTGTATCACTTTTCCAATTATCAGCAATTCCACCTAATCCGATCTTACTTAAACGATTCTGCCTTTCTATCTATCTACTTGTGTGAGTCTCTTTCAATATATATATATATATATATATATATATATATATATATATTTGAACGTCCATTTTTGTAATAGGCTTTGACAACTTTAACACGTTGTTTGATTGTTAATCTTTCCACGGTTGAAATTGCCTATGACTTAAGTAGTTAAATCTGAAAGAAAAAGAAAAGAAAATCACTAGAAGCTTAAAATTAATTCATATTTAAAATCGGTCGAAGTTATTGGAAAAAACTTTACGTGCAGTTCCACATGAAGTAATCTCTTAGAATTCTGATTATTATTATTATTATTATTATTGTTGTTGTTGTTGTTGTTATTGTTGCCTTTGTTGTCGGTGCTAATGTAGGTGGTGTTGCTGGTTGTCGTGGTGGTGATCGTATGCATTTTTGCGCACCGTCTTTGTGCCACAACATATGACAACAGACTTCATTCAAGCGACATTAATTCGTTTCTTTAATCAGCTCCTATCTCCTGTCCACTCCTAATAGTACAGAAAATTAACACTATTGCATTTTTTGCAATATTTTCCGTATCCCATAAAAGCTATTTCAATACAAAAGACTCTGCGTTATGAGTATCACCATCAGTAGAGTCAATTTGCTTACGTCCTTGCTGTTTGACTTGCTATCTTTCCGTTTACATATACGGAAGAGATCATCTTTTCTGTAGGTGGATCAATTCAGTTAATTAGTTATTGTTTGATTCAAGATCGCTAAAGGAAACTTAATCAGACCGTGATTTTTCTTATAATGAGAGACACATGTTAAAACCTTGTCGAAGAAGATGTTTTCTGTATTAAATCTGCAGGTCCGTACATTTAATCCACACTGTTTAAAAACAGGGCGACTATTGAAACATGGGTAATAACAAAATAACGTAAGAGTAGAAAATTAATTCCTTAAAGTGTGTTTCATTTACAAAAAATAATGAGCAGGTATGAGCTTTCGGTAAGATCAGATTGAGTAGATGTTCCTTCTTCAGAAGGAGAATTGAAAGCATTGGTAAGACGTGAGGTTCATTGTAGCCGAGTGTTCTAATACACACCGGATCATTTATCCTACAAATGGGAACATATACATTCAATTTGCTGCGAACACCAGTAAAAAAAGCAAAAAACAAAGACAATAAACAAGGTGTCTACACCAAAATTTGTATTTACAATATAACATTCATACAAGCTGGTCTAGATTTTCTCAACCATCCACCAGCCGAGGTAAAACATACTACTTACAAAGTCTCAATGGATAACAACATCTGACGCGACTACTGAATAAAGGCCGTTAAAAACCGACTAGAAACGCCCCCTTTTGAGCTAACAAACCGTATCAATGAGAATTTCATCATAGAAGCCGTGAATTCATCTTAAAAATATTTTTATGTACAAGAAAACACCCAACCGACGAAAATACGGAACAGTCATGAGAAAAAAAGGTTACCCCAACATATGCCAACCTAGTCATGGGATACCATGAATTAAAATCTATGAATGAACTTCAGAAATCTATGGAAATGACTTCAGCTACTACATAAAAAAAAGTGGAATTATCCTGTGGAAGGGAAGTCTTCATGAACTGTCCAAGCATCCATTAGTAATATAAATACTAATTCACCATGAAGTACAGCAACAAAATACTTCCCTTCTTAGACATATTAATAACAAAAAGAAACACAAATCTAAAAACCGACATATATTTTAAACCTTCTAAATCTAGACAGTACCTTCTTTTTACATCTTCCCATCCGAAACACACCCGTAAGAACATTCCACACATCGTAGCCAAGTGAATCTATACAATAGCCTCAAACATAACAACAGACCACAGCCCAGAAGAGATGGTAAAATATTAACCAAGAGAAATTACCCTCGAAGTTGAATCAACAGTAGCAATAAAACTCAAAACAAAATAATATCCACAGACTACGTGAAACAAAATTAAGAACAAATGGTCATTCATTATATCTCAACTTACAACGCAAAGAACACAGAGAAATACACACGTATACAATTAAGTCTGACAATAGCAACATCTCACACGACTACAAAATAGAGGCCATTAAATATCGACTAGAAACATTCCCTCTTGGGCTACTAAAACGTATCAACGGAAATTCATTCATAGAAAGACGTAAAATTACAATTATTGTATGTTCAACGAAATACCCAATCGACAGAAATCAGGGACAGTCATGGGGACAAAGGTTGTACCAACCTATGCTAACCTAGACTTGGGAAACCATGGACTAAAGACCTATGAATTAACCTCAGAAATGTATGCGAATGACTTCAGCTACGTCATAAATGCAAGGTGGAAAATATATCTAGATGACTATTTCATTCTGTGGAATGAAAATCTTGATAAACCATGAACATTCCAAGCATCAATTAATAATATAAATCCTAGCGTCCAATTTACTATTGAGTACAGCAACAAAAAAGAAAAAAAAAGAAAACTTCCCTTTTTAGACATATTAATAACAAAAAGAAACACAAAACTAGAAATCTATATATATTTTAAACCTACGGACTCTCAACAATATCTCGTACTAATTCTATTCGAGTTAGCCAATCGGATTTGTACAATAGTCTCAAACACAATAAGAAGTGACCAGACTACAAGAGATGGAAAAATACTCATCACGAAAAAATACCCTCAAAGTTGAATCAACAATATCATTGAAAAAGTAAAACAAATTAATATTCATAAACTCCGAGAAACAAAAAATAGAAAAAGGGCCATCATTTATAAGTCAATTTTCAACAAAAAGGACACAGAAATCTACAAAATATTTTCTGTCTTTCGTTTTAACAAAAAAAAACAAAAAACAAAAAAACGAACGAATATACGAATATTAGGATCTAATTCCATTTTTATTTAGAACAATAAGTTTACAGCTTATCTTTTCTTTAAGCATTTCACCCCAAGTAAGGCGGGTGTGCCACTAGCACCCAAGGGGTTACAGAGTGTGCGAGCAAAAGTAATGAGACTAGATTGTTGAAAGGATAAAGAGAAAGATGTGGATCATGATAATGGCATCAGAAGATGTCGATTGACATTACAATTAAATATTTGAGGACTATAACTCTCAGAAGAGCAAGTGAGTGGAAGGAAGTTCCACAGACGGGAAGTGCGAGAAAATGAAGCTACTTGAGTAGATGAGACGGGTACATTTAACCGTTCGGATAATGAAAGGGTGGGACTGAGATGCCAATCTAGAAACACACTTAAATTCATGCAGTTTGGGAACCAGCAAAAATAGTTCGTGGAAGCAGTACTTTTAGCAAAGACAAAGGGAAGATACTTCGTAGAATTAAATATATTTAAGTGCCTATATTTTGCAATCAAATTTGTCTGAAGTTTCTTGTAATATAACGCTTATCAGCTCTACAGATACGTTTATCGAATCGAACTCTAATTTAAGTTGGAACCATTTATATGTATTTTACCGGGTGCAACATATATATTTGCCTATTATTTGAATAGACCTTGAAACGTAACTTTTCATAAAACAGTTTAAAATCTGCATAAGTTTTCCTAATATTCTTCGCTTTTATTGTTTACAGCGTAATTAAATAAGACGGCTCAAACAAATCCCAATCAAATCGCAGCATTGATAAAAATAATTGTGAGGTGATGCTTTTAATGTGTGAAAAAAAATTGAGGAGTAAACATCCTCACCAAATTCAAGGAAGAATCCGTTCATTTCTTACCAGTCGAGTTACTGAAGCCATTAAAATGTGGGTGAAGGTGAATCGACCAGGAAGCATGGAGAAGATAAAAGAGCTGGATATAAAGAAGATTTAGGTCTAAAACCATCCAAGATTCAAGGATGACAACTGCTTTCAAGTGGCTCCAAGGAAAATGGCTTGACACAGGGAATAAATTTTGCAGGAGATGCAACGTGCTGCAGACCGTGTTTTCGTTTGGTCGGATGAGCTGTGACGACTGTGGAATCTGATAGTGTTTGCAGCCCATCTCGCTTGGGGAACTCTCTTCCGGCTTCTAGCTTCCCAGTCATCTTTGATCTTCAAACATTTAAATGCAATGCCATTTGTTATCTTCGGTCTTCTTAATTCTTGTTCTTTCATTGTAGTTTTTTCTATTATTTTCTAACACTCAGTAATCTTTTACATCCAAGTGGCTTCATTGACTTGCTTGGGGTGAAATGATTAAAAATAATTCTCCCCAGGAAAAATTTCCGTATGCGTAAGAACACATTTCAAGCGACAGAAACCAACTGGTATTTTTGGGTGATGTGTCTTGTGATGTTTCGAAATCATTCTTAGTGTTCATTGAGTGAATTGCAGCGTTTACCAGCAGTTGTTTTAGTGAGATATGATTCCTTGGAAGTCGCTATGTCCACAACCAAAACAAATCAAAACAGAGCTTGAGGACACAAGGAAAATTTGTGACACAACTGGCGCAAGAAAAAAAAATTCATGGATTTTTTAACAAATCAATTTGTCCTCCATCAAGCCCTGATATTAATCCTATAGATTTTGAGAAATGGTTCATATCGGAGTACGATGTTTCATGTATCTCATACCCAATTGTTTCAGATTTGGATAAAAAAAGAAAATAGAAAA